AATAAAATTCTCTCCATGGTGGTAGAAGGGGAAGAATTTAGTTTAGTGGCCTTCGTGGTTCAGCATGTGATGATTGGTATGGGAATGTATTGCATGTTCCCAACAAGGAACTTTGAGGGGTACACACTCTTAATGGGAGGGGGTGAGTGAGGGCACACAACAAATTCTACAGTGACCCTCAGGCGTCACACATCTGCCAAGATGGTGGCAGTCACAGCTGACATTTGGAGTATTGGGGTGGATGGTGCCAAAGCCAACATATTCAAACCAGCTGCCGTGAGATGTATTAGGACAGTTATAGTTGTTATTTTTCGATAACAAAGGAGCAATGTGTTTCCAGCCGGCCCCAGATGTGTGGTAAGATAAGCTTTCTAGAAACTACAGTTGGTTCTCACGTTGACTCTTAATAATGCTGTTCTTATCAAAGCACATTGAGTGGTAGGTGTTCAGAGTAATACGACCTGCTTTAAAGACTGCACAAGCAAATTAAAATTAATGGGAAATTTTTTTCCAGGAATACAGTTTCTTGAAAATTAGAAAGATTGTTCTTTACTGAATAAGTGAGCACTAGGGGGAATGTTTGGCATTCCCTGTGCCTGGTTGTTTTACTCTTTCAACAGTCCTGTCAGAGGTTGTTCTTCAAGAAGTCCTGTTCTTTTCAGATGTCACGAAAAGATATTCTTGCCAAAGCCCTTCCCGGCCGAGATGGAATTGATATAAGAGCTGTAGCTCGGGGGGGAGAGGGGACAGCTCAGCTTCTTCCTCTGTAAAATGCAAAGGTTGAGCTGCTGATCTTCTTGTCGGGATGGTATGCATGTTCATTCATTCATTGCACAAGGGTTTGTTGAGCACCTACAGAGTGCCAGGCACAGCTGTTACTGGGGATTCAGTAATGAGCAAAACCAAATAGGGGTCCTTGCTCCCCGGTGCTTGGATCCTAATGGGAGAGAGACAGCTCTTAATCAAACATCTGCACAAGTAAACGCGTCATCACAACATTGGTTGGTGCTGGGAAGGAGAGTCGAGCACATGGGGCAGGAAGGGGTCATAACAGGGAGATTTACTTCACCAGGAGGGAGATCCGAAAGGGCCTCCTGGACGTGGCAGGTGAGGGGCTGGAGAGCATGGGCTGCGATGGCGAGGGGTGGGCATTGAAGGCCTAGGAGGCACCGAGTTCTAAGCCAGCACAGCCCCTTGGCCAGTCACCTTATCTCTCTGCATCTCCATTTCCTCGTCTCTAAAAATGGAACTAACATCAGGAACCTTTCATGGTGTCGTCAGGTTTCAGAAGGGTGACATGTTTGAAAGTACCCAGCACCCGGCAAATTACATTTCATTTCTAAGAATAGCTTTGGAAACAGAGATGTTCTGTTTCATACTTGGGTTTCTCGCTGTGGAGAAGGAGTGACGCAGCTTTGAGACCCTCCTTTTTAAGAAGTCTGAGTTCGCAGTCTGCCCTGGAAGGTGCCTGGCTTCCCTCAGTCACGGAGGTGTGTTTGAGTCACTGACTTGGAGACCCCAGGGATGGCCTTGCTGCATGGTCACGTGACAGAGGTCTACGCGTTGGGGGCTGGCAGGAGGTTAGGCGTCGCTGGCCTGATCCCTTGCCATGTACACACAAAGAAAGGTGGCTGACTGTGAACAGTAAAACTGGAATAAGGAGGCAGCCCCTGCCCCACGGTCCATGCTTTTTTGTAGTGTCTCTGTTTCAGATTCCATTTGGAAACTGCGAATGTTCTCTGAGGCCACTGAGCTACTAGTGAGTGGCTTATGCAATTCCTTCTCGAGATAAAGCAAGGTTAGCGCTCTCTCTGTCATAACTCCTCAAGGCCTGAAGATTACTCCTTTAATCTTACAAAAGCAAACGCAAGGACAGAAATAACCCATCAATGGTTTAAAGTTAAAGTGGCCAACAATAATAAATAATTGCCACATAGCTGGAGGTCAGGGTCGTAATTTATTGGAGGCCATTCAGGAATTTGAAACTTTCCTCTGAGTTAATTTTTCACGTCTTGTTTGGATCCTTAGAGCTCTTGCTTCCAAAAAAACGAGACCATCAGATCTCCCCTTGCACATGTTATTCTTGTTGACGTGCCAGGCATGCAGGAAAGTGAGGTCCCCTCTTCTTGGATGAGTAATGAGGATTCCTCCCCCCAACATCTGTATTTCAAAGTATTTTAGCCTACTGAGATTTTGGATAGTTCTCTTGTCTTTCATGTTCTACTAGCTATCTCAGTAGTTGCAAACAACAACAAACATGTGCTGGCTAATTTAAACAGAAAAGGAGCCCTGGCCAGTGTGGCTCAGTTGATTGAGCGTCATCCCATGCACCAAAAGGTCACCAGTTCGATTTCCGGTCAGGGTGCATGCCTGGGTTGCCAGCTTGATCCCCAATAGGGGGCATGCAGGAGGCAGCCGATCGATGTTTCACATCAGTGTTTCTCTCTCTCTCCCTCTTTCTCTAAAATCAATAAAAACATATTTTAAAAAGAAAACAGAAAAGAGATGTATTGGAAGGATAAGAGGCTGGTTCAGAGCTGAGCCAGGAACGCTGGAGAACCATCATTACCGGAGAAAAGGAAGCAAGCCTTAGCTCAGGATGCCACTTCAGGGCTCTCAGTCCTCCGTGGTCACCTCAGACGTTTCAGAGGGCTCTGGTGCCTTTGGGAAACTCAAAATTCATGAGTTAGGAGCTTCTGCGCACCACACTGAGGCCACTTGACCATCCTGAGATCACATGACTGCACGTCAGTGCTCATACTTTAGCAACCAACCCTAACCCTTTCTTCTGATGGGCCCCTCCCACTTACCTTGAGACACCACAGGAAGGTGTCAGGATGTGGAGTAGCCAAAAATATCAACTGTCCATTACACAAACCCTCATATGCTTAACCACATCTTCCATTAACTGGTTAGCCAATCAAAGATTGGCCATCCATGTGAATTTATCTTGTCCAAAGCTCACATCACATAATAATCATCAGTCTCATGTACAACAACATTGCCATCCTCCTCCTCACTGTCATTCTCATTCCCATCATGCTCATCCCCAGCATCATCCCATTGGTAGCCCACTCACTCCCACTCCTGGGCTGCCATTTCCATCCTTCCCGCCCCTCAAATGTTCCCTCCTCATCCTCCTCCTTCTCCTTCCCAGTCAGTGACTCAGCTTTATTTCACTGCAAAATGGAAGGAATTGTAAGGGAATCTTGTCTTGTTTCTAACAGCCATCCATTAACGCATCTGTGCCTTATGGGCCTCTTTCTCACTTCATACCAGCTGAGGCCAGTCCCCCCCCGCCCATTTGTTCAAAACCATCAGCAATTGTCCCCTGTCATGTCATCATTAATTGCTCTCTCTCTAATAGATCCTTCCCATTAACATGTAAATATACTATGATAATTTCCATCTTAATCTCCCCTTTGTAGAAAAAGTCCCCCAAGTAGTTGACCGTACTCAGTTTCCATTTATTCTCTTCCTACAGCTCTTAAACCAATTCCAATCAAGCTTTCATCCCAGTCACTCCACTTAAGTCATTCTTAACAAGATCACCAATGACCTCTGAATGGCGAATTCCATTGGCCAGTTCCAATTCATGTTATTTTTACCTCTCTGCCACGTTTGACAAGATTGATTACTCCTCCCTTGAAACACATCTTCTGTGGCCAGTTTGATACCCTCTCACTTGGTTTCTCTCCTGTCTCCCTCGCCACCCTTTTTCAATCTCCTGTGCTGGCTCCTCCTCATCTCCAACTCCTACATATGATACCTCTTCTCTACCTACACAGGTTCCCTGGTGATCATAGCTAATCCATCCCAAGTGTATACCTCCAGCCAGACTCCTCCTTCAACACCAAACTTGGGCATCCAACTATCTCAACATCTCTTCTTAAAAATCCGAGTAGTATTTACATTTTCCCTACTAAACGTCTATACCCATAGCCTTTCTCATCTCAATAAATGACAACTCTTCCCTTCTAGTTGTTGAATCTAAAATCTTTGCAGCCATCCTTGACTCTCCTGTTAAGGATCCCTAACACCCCTCATCCATGCATGAGCAAAACCTGTTGGCATATCCTTTGAAACATATCCAGAATATGACTTCTCACTACCTCAGCTTCTACCATCATGGTCTGGTGTGTCATCTTCTCACACCTGGGTTATTGCAAGAGCTCCCTAACCAGGCTTCCTTATTTCCTCTGACCACTCCTACCACAGACTGTTCTCATCATGGGCAGTGCGAGCCTTTAAACATGGAGGTCATCACACTGGTCCTCCACTCAGAGCTCTGCACGGGCTCCATCTCAGTCAAACCAAGATCTTTCTGATGGCCCAGCGATGCCCTACATGATCTGCTTGCCCTTAATGCCTTTGCCTCTCTAAGCCCATTTCCTCCCACTCTCCCCCTTGCTCACCCCTCTTTGCCACACTGGTCTCCTTGCCAGCCTTTGAACATTCCAGGCACAACTTTCCCTTGGCTAGTTCCCAGGGATCTTTGTATCTTGCTCTCTTTCTTCCTTTAGATTTGTACTGAGAGCTCACCTCATCCGTGCGGCTTCTGTGTGTTTGCTTCTTTGTGTCTGTGTTTTCTGTCTCTCTGAAGCCACAAGAAGGCAAGAGCGCTTGTAGAATGGTAATGATGGGCAGGTAGGAGGTGCCCCAAAAATATTTTAATGAATCAATGTCTGATTGGATTCCATGCCTAGGCTATTAAATGTCTTATAATTTTCCAAGTTGAATGTACTAGATTTCATGGAGCCCCGGAACAGCCTAGTGAGATAGGCAGGACAGAACCTTCATGGGCTTAGATGAAGAAACCAAGGCTCATGGGATCTGATCGCCCAAGGATGCATGGCTGCTGCATGGGGTGCCTGGGACTTGTAGTTGTGATGCTAGTGGTGTTCCTGCCCGCCTCCCGCAGCCACCCCACGATGGGTCATGTTTTATTATTGAAAGCTGAAAGCTTCAGGGTATTAATGGCTGTTCATTTTTCATTGCAGCATTGATGAGAAAACCCCCTACCTGGCTTTGGGGGCTGTGAAGAATATCTCCATAAACATCTCCATCTCCAACCTCGGTGACGATGCCTATGATGCCAACGTGTCCTTCAATGTTTCCCGGGAGCTCTTCTTCATCAACATGTGGCAGAAGGTAAGGAGGGCACCCGAAAGAGAGCCTTTGGTCCATCTGGTGCGTCTGCTGACTTGCACCATAGCTCAGAGGGTGCAGTGATTATGCAAAGACTATTTTGTTACGTGGAGCATCCTTTGGGACTGTTAGGATATTTTTCTGTCTGGACTTAGAAAGTATGTTGGTACCGCCAGAGAAGAAACTATATAGATACCTACAGAGGGATGGGGCAGAATCGATGCCCTCCATCGTCTCCTACCCGTTCTCTCCTGTGGAACCCTGTCCATATGGTTTTATGTCTGGCTTCTTCCCCACGATGACATGATCACTGTCTCCCGCACGCGCACGTTCCAGAGAGTCTGCGTTAGGCCAGTAGTTGTGAAAGACAAGATAAGAGATGAGGACGGATAGCAGCCTCGCATGCTTGTTATCTGCCCTTGATGTTTTCATTAGAGGGTCATGTTCATCAGCCTACACTTTGGCACATTTATTTAGAAATGGCATATCTGAGTGAATTGAGGAAATTAAATTATTTCCATGAATTGAGTGAGCTTTGAAGAGTGGATTCACTGATTTGAATGGATTGGAGTTTAAGTAGCATGACTCGGAAAGGAAGGAGGAGCTGGGATTCTCGCCTGTTTTATCCACCAGTGTTTCCTTCAAGGGATCATCCTTGGGGAGAAAGAACAGGCCTTCTCGGCGGGCCACCGGAGAATGGGTGGATTTAACAGACCTCGCCCCACCCCGTGGCGGCTCTAACTGTTGACAGTGGTTCCAATGGGAATTTTTGCAGCTTTTCATAGTGTTTACAGCCTTGAACTGCAGTGCCTTGATCTCTGTGTTAAAGTGGAACCAAAATCACTTTCTAAGGAAAACCTTCGGCCTGCCCACAGATGAGTGCTGGATGCCCCTTCAAACCTTATTTCTGCTCAGGCAGATGTCCTGCCAGACTCAGTAGTTCTGACAGGGTTGTGCCAATCTTGCCCAGCATAGGGGGCAACTGAAGCATTTAGAGCCATCTAGAATGGCATCTAGAATGCCAGCGCCCCACGAACTTTCCTGGGGACCATCCCAAACTCTGCTGCTTAATTGGTTCAGGAGCTCTGGGGTTGGGGGAAGAGCATGCTTTCCGTTCACCTCCCGGACCCTAAGAATTGTCCCTGGTTTAGGCTCTGCCCCATCACAAGAGAACCGAGTACCTAGAGGGTTTCGGGACCTCTGGTTACACACAAAATACCACCACTCAGTAGTTCTGACAGGGTTGTGCCAATCTTGCGCAGCATAGGGGGCAACTGAAGCATTTAGAGGCATCTAGAATGCCAGCGCCCCACGAACTTTCCTGGGGACCATCCCAAACTCTGCTGCTTAATTGGTTCAGGAGCTCTGGGGTTGGGGGAAGAGCATGCTTTCCGTTCACCTCCCGGACCCTAAGAATTGTCCCTGGTTTAGGCTCTGCCCCGTCATGAGAGAACCAAGTACCTAGAGGGTTTCAGGACCTCTGGTTACACACAGAATACCGAAAGCAGTATTTTACAGTAAATACATAATTTGAAAGATTAAGAATAAGCTTCTAATATCCATTATGCCATAAAAATGAGAGAAGAAACTTAATCTCGTCACTCCTCCTGCTTCGCATTTTCAGAATGGAGTCCAGAGCCCTCAGCTGTTCCCGGGGGGCCATGCTGAGCCTGGGCCTTCCTGCCCTCCGCCCCCACAGCCTCATTGCTCACCATCGCCCCCATACACACCGGAATCCAGTGTGCTGTTTCTTTCCTGGAGCGGAGGCTGCTGATAGAAGCCTGGTGCGCACATGGGTGAGCGTCCGCTGCCTTGCCTCTGGCCTGTATCACACTAACTTGAAAACACTCCATAAAATAGGACTTAATTTGTCGGTGGCTACCTGGCCGGTTGATTGGCTGCCTGGCATGTGCTGTCTGGCTGGAGCTCAGCACGTAATGGTCACTTAATGGTCTCCTGCGGAGCAATGAAAGGGGGCTCCGAGGGGCGGGGCAGGGGCATACAGCTAAAAGCAGAAGAGGGAAGGAGAAAGAAAACAGTTTGGAGCCCCTGCATCACACAACCCCAGGGTCACATTCACGCTGGGTTCTGTGAGGGACCCCCCAAGACCACAGTCCACAGAAGATAATGTGAATGGTGGCCCTGGAGCTGTCCAGACAGGTGCCCTGGCATCGAGATGAGGTCGAGTTTAATTTCTGGCTGTGGTGCCTGTTGGCTTGGCTCCTGCTGCCTCTGTGGAACGGAATGGGTTGATTTGGACAGCAGTTATTAAGTACCTGCTAAGGGCCAGGCAGCCACCCGCTGTTAGGAGACACAAGGATGGGTAAGATCTGGTTCCTGCTCCCAGGGGGCTCACAGCCTGGTGAGTGGAAGGCGTGTCGGCAAGCAGTAGGAGCACAGGGTGCCAACTGCTCTGCAGAGGTGCTGAGAAGTTGCTTTGAAGCACAGACGTGACAAGGTGAAGCAAGTGGTCACTGCTTGGGATGGACAAAATCCTACGATAAAGGCTTATGGTGGATGGATGGGTCTCTGAAAAGTTGGTGTCAACATTCAGAGCTAAGGCGGGTGGGTGGGGTGGTCCATCAATCTGGGTGGTGAAGGAGTGAGCTGGGCTGGTACAGGGGTGAGAGCGCAGAGGAGAGGCAAGAGAAACCCAGCAGGGTGGAAGGAGGCTGCCCATGTGGGACAGAGGGTCAGTAACGTTCCCCGTGGGGGTGACCTCAGGACGTTATAGGAATGCTGATGCCTGCTGCTCTGAGCTGAGGTTGCTTATCAGGTAGGAATCCTGCTCTCTTAAATGCCTCCTGTGACCAAGGGAGAGAAAACTCAAAGAAGGGGCTGGGTTCATGAGTACATCTCCATGGTATTGACTGTTATGATGCACATGGAAATGGACGTGGACATGGACAGTGTAAGCTTCAGGTCAGGGGTAAGAGAGCTCTCAGATGACCTCTGGGTGCAGAGGAGACGTAGCAGCTTCCCCTGGGGTTACAGAGGAGGCCGTGCTGGGGAGAAGGGAGAGCGGCAATAGACTTTCTGAATGAGGCATCTCTCTGCAGTGTCAGTGCTCTCTTGGTTTGGGTCTCCCAGATGCTGACCTTGAAGCAAAGAAGTGAGGGCCATTAGCTTATTTGGGAGGTGCAGCAAACGCTGGCAGGGAGGCAGAGAAGTGATACAGGCAGGTGGAGGCAGCTAATGAGCAGGGTGCTGTTGCCTGACCGGCATGGCTCAGTGGTAGAGCGTCAACCTGTGAACCAGGAGGCCACAGTTTGATTCTCAGTCAGGGCACATGCCTGGGTTGTAGATCCCAAGTGTGGGGCGTGCAGGAAGCAGCCAATCAATGATTCTCTTTCATCATTGATGTTTCTGTCTCTCTTTTCCTCTCCCTTTCTCTCTGAAATCAATAAAAATATATGTTTAAAAAAAGAAAAAGAATAGTTTTTAAAAAATGAGGGTGCTGTTAAACCAGCAACTGCAGTGCGCAATGGGGCCTAATCCCAAAGGGCACACCTGGGAAACCGAGCAAAATACCAACCTCAGGGGTGAGGGAGCTGGGGGATTAGCACCCCCTCCCGAAGAGTCAGTGCTCAAGGCCTTCCGGCGGGGGGGGCGGGGGTGAGGGTGCACTCCCCAGTGCTCCTGTCCTCTAATGTGCAGCCTACACAGTTCCGGAAAACGCCCTCAGGTGCGGAGACGCAGACACTGGCAGTTGGCCTGGGCTGGAAGCCGGGCAAGGTGCGAGGCATCTGAGCAGGCTCTCCAGCATCCGCTGGAAATGCCCACCGCGTTCATAGCACCTCCAACGTGAGCACCTCGCTTTCTGGGCTTCCAGAAGTTGTAAATTGGCCTAATAGAACTTCACTGAGGTCCTAACATGAGAAGGCAGGTGTTATACATCGGAGAAGGGGCCACCTATGGGGCATTGGGAAGCAGTGGAGACCAGAAAAACGGAGGTCTCCAGCCTCATCTAGCTCTCGGCCGAGCCCATGGTAGCCAGGTGGGCGTCAGGGCCAGTGCTGCCAGACTTCCCATTTTATCAATAAAAGCCAGAAATCCACATTTTTATGGGAAATCTCATGACTTTGGCAGCTAATTAAAATGTTCTTTGAACATTGTATGGGCCAAACAAAACAGGCCCACGGGCTACATCCAGCCCGTAGGCCACCAATTTGTGACCTCCGGCTTAGCTGGTTTCCATATGTTCTAGCCCCATTCTCTTGCCGGCCCGTGCAACACATGCATCTGTATTTCTGGTCAACCTGGTCTGTCTGCAGCCTTGAATGTCGGTATGTCATGTCCATCCCTGGGTGGCAGAGAGACTAGCCCAATAGATTGGAATCAGAGGGCGTCAGGTGTGGGTGTGTTTTGGGGGGAGGGAAGTGATCAGAGAGGGTGAACCCCAACATGTCCATGGAGTCTTTGACGCTAATGATGTTTTGAAAGCTGTTTTCAGGCTGGAATGTGTATACTTGGTGGTGATTGGGAGAAGCTGCTAAGCTGGCGTTTGTATTCTAGACGCTCTTAGAGGGGAAGTGACGTGCCAAGCAGCCGAGGTGGGGAAGAGGGACATGAGGCTCTGGCTGCTGCCGAGACGCAGAGGTGGGACTCCAGCTCGCTTTCTCACAGTCGGTGCGACCTCAGGCCAAAGAAAGGCTTTCTCTCTGCGCCTCAGTTTCTTTCTCTGTAAAATGGGATGTGCTAGGATTCAATGAGGCCTCCACCCAACTCCTTGTGCACATTAGCACATGCCGTGCAGTCCATTCATTTACTCAGGAAGCATATATCAATCGCCTACTTCAGACCAAGATTAAGTGCCGAGGGGGAGGAGGAAAAGGAGCAAGGATGTAAGACAAAGCATGTAAGACAAAGCGTTGACTCTTCCTTTCAAATCAAAAATCAAGACCTGCAATCCTAGAAAGACCCATTGTCTTAACAAAAGATTGCATGTGTGTGCGCGCACACGTGTGTGCATATGCATTTACACAGTCAAAAACAGTGATAGT